GCTCATGATTATTGATAGCATCCTTGCTCTCACTAATGGTTTCAATGACTTTTTCAAGAAAAACCCTAAAGACGCGAGGAGTCCACTACCAAGTTTAAAGGGTCAATTGGGATGTAATTATGTCCTTTAAACATAATTTGTATGTATATAGGTCATAGTGCTTTTTTTTATTTGTATCACAGTTTGTGAAATAGTAGGACTCATGGTGAACCTTTTTATCTAAGGGTTTTGGTGAATTTCTATGTATATGAAGGTGGAAGAGATATGCAGTTGTTGTTGGTTTCTCCTCATCATTTGTGACAAATATTGTACCCCAAGTTGGGGTGTTACATATAAGCTCAGAATAGGGGTTGTCTTAGGGACTAAGAAAACATAAATTCCCGTACAACCACTCGAGCAGTGGGAGGGTGGTGGCTGCTAGAATGAAAAAAGAATTCAAACCAAGGCAATAAAGCAGGGACTACTTGAGCCATCTAAGAGCGACCCAGACGGTGCTATTTTTAATTTTTTCCCTAAGTGTTCAAAGGCCTCTCTAGCGAAGGCTAGCAAATACAGGGTGGTCCCTACTGGTTTTTAAGCTAGAAACCAAGCAAAAACGGTTTTCCTTGAGTAGTAAAGGGTGTTGTTCAAATGGGGTCCAATTAATGACTCAAATCTATGTTTTCAAAACACAATTGAAGTTTAGAAACATTTTTCTTTGAAAAAGACCTAAGAGTCATTAATGGATCAATCGCCGATTCCATTTTACTTCATTGACATATGTCTAATAAATTAAACTAAGGATGTTAAGATCTCTAAGGTCATTACCTTTCTCCTAAGCAAGAAGGTGCATTCGAAGAGTACAACTTTCTGCTTGGATGGCCATGGTTCACTCAGTTGAGGCTTCTCTTCTAGTCTTCACCAAAGTGTGGAGTACATTATCAATGGCCACTTGGTCACTGTTTATGCAGAAAGAGGACATCATGGTCCATCATTCCCTAGACATTCCTTATGTTGGCCGAGAAAATGACTTGCCTTCAAACTCTCAAAATTCCTCTGAAACCTTGACGAGACTCTTGATGTTGCTTGAAACACAATCTTCTCCCTTCCATTGACACGTTCAGATCTTCAACTTTTGTAGCATCATGACCATAGAATAGGTTGAGTTTTACAAAAAATACTTTATGAAATTAGCCAATTATAAATATGATCCTAACAATCTTTTTATTTCATCTCCAAAGAAGGGACTACATAAATGGAATCACATATCACATGCCAAAAATCAAGCAACAACGACACACACACGCTCACCCTCACACCTGGAATTCTAACCCCAAAATTACCGTAAAAAACACATTGATGTCGAAAAACTCATACCCATGAATTGGTTCTAGATTTTGGTTGAAATATCATAGTTTTGTTAGCAAATTAATAATCACAAACAATCCAACTAGAAAGACTAAAAATCAACCCAAAAAAAATCATGAAATTGAACCTACAAGCATAAATTAAAACCTTCAAAAATACAACCTATCGCCACCCTCACCCATCACCCACTATTAATCCACAACTTCCCCAATCCATTTCATTTGAATCAAACATGCCCAAAAGCCACCTTCCATGTTTAGATTTATAGAACAAAGACGAATTTGATCATATTTGCAAATATCATATAAATTTGACCATCTTTAAGGCTCTCTCATGTTCACAAAACCCTTTGATGACTTGTGATTCTCTATCCCTCTATCATCTGGGCATTTGTAGTGGGTTGCATAGGTGGCATGAGTGGTTTTGCAAAATTGAATGTGAAAATAGGAGGATGGTGTCGGTGGTGCGAAGGGAAAGACTTTGACAATATATCTTGAGATTTGGGTTATGGATTCGGATTTGGGTATGAGTTTGGTAATTTTTTGGGTTTAAGTTGGATTGATTTTATCTTAAATTTTTATTAATTGGTAAAATAGTTATTAGGCAAATTACATGGACAACCCCTGATATTTTAATTTATTACATGGACACCCCTGTCATTTTACAAATGACACTCGAACCCCTTCACATTTGAAATTTGTTCATCCAGGGCCCTATACTTGATAGAAGTTAGACATGTTTACAGAGTATAATGACATCAGCCAAAAATCTATTATAATTCTATGAATGCCCCCATCTGGTGAAAGTCAAACTCTACAAAACCATTGTACTTCAAAGTAGTTATTGAAATATCAATCATACGCCTTCCTTTTCCTTTAAAAACCCATGTTCAGAGTTTTTCTCCTAAATCTTCTCTTCTCATTCGGCAGGTATGGATTCCTCTTATTTTTTTGCCTTCCTCCATATCTCTTTACCTCTCAATCTCTTTGTCCATCTATATTTTTATGTACAGTTATAAATGTATATACATATACACATACAACAATAGTATATATATGCATTGTATGTGTTAGGTATGGATAGGGTCTCACTGTTATAGCTAGTATTATCAGAAGGGGTATTTTTGTTGTTATGTAAAAAGGCAAGGGATGTGCATGTCATTGACATAATATGACTTGTTTTTTGTTGTATGCAGTAACTATAAACACAAAACATGTCATCTGTTAGCAGTAGTAGATTTGGAGGTGGGAACGGAGAAGGATTTGGAGGACATGAGATGTTGGGTTTAAGGTTCAGTGGAACACAATGTTTTTGTGGGAAGAAAACAGCAATAAGGATAGTGGAAACTGAGAAGCCATCAAAAGGAAAATTGTATTTCAATTTTGAGAATGGGGGGATGCAGGTTCTTTGGTTGGTGTTATCCCCAATTGACTATAATGCCTCCATATGTTGAACATGGTTATGGGCTACAATGAATTTCCAACTCAGAAAGGGGTCATAACGCCCAGGACACACATGCACTTTTGAAGGCTCTCGTTGTTGCAGTGTTAGTTGTGTTTATAATGCAACTATTTTATATAGTCATGTCTACGAGCAAGAACTAGAAATTCCAGTGGTATTTCCTAGTCCTATCTATTATGTTATGTTGTTTTTACCTAGTATGTAGGTGGTATGAATGTCCTGAATATGCTTTTGGAGTTGTGCTAAATATGTAATGAGCTGAAATCAAGATTATGAAATATGTACTGCCTTTTGAAATTATGCTAATTATGTAGTGGCTTCAATACATTGTAATAGAATCAATTCAATAGTTCTTTGTGTACATAGTACACTAATAAAAAAGCCATCAGAATCTCAAAAAAAAAACACTAATAGCACACAAATGTGCACCATTCATAAGTCAAAAAGCCATGTGCACCATTCACATTCCTATGCTACCTATATGCACCATTCACAAGTCAATATCCAAAATGTCATACAAAAAAAGGCACCATTCACATTCCTATACTAGCTATATGCACCATTCACATCCAGAAGAAGTCAATTTCCATTCACATCTACACCACCAGCCTGAGTGCCTGCCCCAATTCCCCTAACTAGATTATCACTTCCTTGTTGTGATGTAGAAATTCCAGATTCACCAGTTTGAGAGCATTGTTGTGATTATGGTGTTGGTACAGTTTGCTGCATACATAAATACAGAAACATAAAAAAATATTGGACAAAAAATTTCATTCGTTATGCACATAATTAAAAATTACTTGAGCTGCACCTTTTCCTTTGACAAGTGTTCTTTGGCAAGTTCGTTTGTTGTGACCTAGTTGTTTGCAAATTTGGCACCTAATTGTCTACGACCTTCTCATTTCACTTGTGCCAGCTGATGGTTCATCTGTAGCTCTTATTCGATTGTTTCAAAGCCTTCCAGGTAACCTGTGTAGAGATGGTGGTTAGAGAGTTTCTCTAGTTGGAGCCTACATCATATGGTCAATAATTGGATGCATGATATCCCCATGAACCAACAAATATTTTTCCTTTGCGAAATAAGCATTACAAAACATCTCAATATTGTCTCTTTGAGAACTTATTGTTGTTGCTGCATGAACACAAGGGACCCCAATAATCTACCATTCTACGCAAGCACTTTTCTTGCAGGTTAAATTGACAGGGCATGTTGTCTCCTTCTGAAAAATATCAAACTCCAAGTTTATAGCCCAAAGCATATTACACTGCATGTTTTTCGTTACAACCTCGTTTAGTTTTTGTCTAATATTCTTTGCAACAAGACCTTCCCAAAGACACCCTTTCATTTTCTTTTGTGCAGCCTCACCATTAAGTTGTACATTATTCCCTCTAACATTGTCAGAACTGGCTTCTGTCTTTGTAAACCTGCCCAGTTGTTAAATGACTCACACAAAGTATTGGTTATGTGGTCACTCTTAACAGTATGGTCAAATGTGTGCCTAGCCCATGTGTGTATAGGAATACATTAGTCAATCATATGCATCACAATTCAAATCTTTCATTTTATCCATGATTTACCTAAACTCCATCTTAGTATAAGCCCTAGCTGCCTTCCAAAAATAAAGATGTTATAGAGATGCTTAAAGATGTTATAGAGATTCTTACAACATCTTTTATGTTTATTTCCCTTAAAAACTTTCTCAAAACACTTTATCTAATCCCTAGAGTGACATCCCCAACCAAAACAAGAAACAAGAAACAGAAAACAATAATGACAAATCAGAAAGGACATTAAAAAGAAACTACATGACTAAGAAATTACAAGTCAGAAGCATACCTTTTGGTTGTCTGAGATAAAGATCCAAGATTTGGTTATATCCGCTACTCCAATGACACCATGTAGATTTTGAAGAAACCATCCCCAACTTTTTGTTCTTTCACTTTCAATCACTCCATATATCACTAGAAACAAACCTTTTATTCCCATCAAGAGCCATTTCAACCACCAGAACTCCACCAAATTCACCTTTCAGGTGACAACCATCAACCCCAATAAAAGGTCTGCAACCTGCCATAAAACCATTTTTCAGTAAAGCAAAAGAAATGAAGATTCTCTTGAACAATGGATTATCACTCACAGATTTCTTGAAATAATCAAGTTTAATAACACTAACAAGATTACTCCTCCTTACTTCCCTAACATATGCTGGTAGTAATCCAAACAATTTATCCCTATCTTTATTATACAATCCTTCAATGCATATATAAACAAGTCCACATTTCCAAACAACATCCTCACACAAAAGTCCCAATCAGTGTTTCCATCTCCAGGAACATTAAACTCCACTCCAAATTCTAAATTATCACTGACATTGAACTTTCTTTTCCTACCCCTTCTATGTGTTTTATCCACTTCACCCTCAGGTTCTTCAGAATCTATACTACTAACATAACCTTCATCCCATGATTGATAATCTAAAAACCCATCGTCACTGCTTTCATCTAATTGTGTGTTGATGGTATCACCATGGCACTCATAACTAACATTGGGGACATCTTCACCCTCAACTATCTAGTTCTCATCTTAGAACTGAAACCATAAAATTGTCATCATTTTCACCACCCCCACCCGTATGTTTATCCCCATTTACATCATCAACTTCATTCCTATTTGCATCCCTGTCATCATTTTCACCATTAGGTTCATTGTCATCAATTTCGTCTGGATTTGGCTCTTCACCTATTCCTACATCTAGAGGATGTGGGAGTTCCACCTAAGACCGAACTTCAACATTCAAAAATACATGTATCTCCTTATAATTTTTATATGCAGAAAACATTTATGTAACTATTCATCACCATCAAGTACAAGTTTTCTACTACCATCTGGCCTATCAATTGTAATATCAATCATTACCTTCAATACACTATCACTAATAAAAACATTGGTAATTTCTGCAACATCTATTACCATATCCATGCAAAAATACTGATCAGGGTTGACCCTATTAATGGTGAAAATAGAGTTCTTAAAATGAACAACAATGTCATGCTCCTATTCGTCCATTTCTATAGAACAAATGCCAGAAATGTCTCTTACTAGTTAATTAAAACAAATCCTTTAAATGACCAAAAAATGACAACATAATGAAACATGAAAAGATCAAATATAAATATGTTCCAAAT